AAGGAAACGATGAAAGTGCGAAAAAGCGTTCTTTGCCTTGCCCATGGCCTCCTTGCTTCGCTGGCTGGTTGATGATCAATAGCATACGTGATACAAGTGCCTTTACCTGACTGTTTTGAGGACTTGAAGTCTCCGCCCACTTGGGAGAATTCGATAAAAATCATCACAAACAAGAGTAAATCATGGGGATACTTGTTCAGTTTCTCCACGAAAAGTGCCAAGTTTCTTACTACCATGCTCATAGTTCTAGGACAGGGTCACGCATCGATATCCGCCCAAGCTAATCACCTCTTCAACATCCGAGAGCAGCCAGTTGAAGCCAGACTAGTCCAGGAGGGTAAAACACCGCCTTGTTCATTGGCTGCCCCTGCTCTCTTCCATCAACTCATTGTATGCATAGGTCATAGGTCATATACTATTTGAAACCCCACAGCGGTTGTGAATGGAAGTCGAATGCGTGGGAGCATCCCAAACGGGAATGATCAATGCTAAAAAATCATCTGTCTGACTTTTTTCACAACATTTGCTTTTACTGTTGGTTTTCGCTCCTAATAATCATTGATCTTGAAAATCCTTGACTCCCATAGGCTCTGATACTCGTTCTCATAACCTTCCTCTTGAATGACATGTAAGAAACACCTGACGTTTGAACCTGCCTCTCTTTCTTCATGTTCCCTGCCAATCTCAGTTATCATCGGCTTCTTGCTTTTCTTTTGTTTAACCTTTCTGATCTGGAATCCCAAGTATCATGGTTTTGGGATGGTGCTAGGTGTTCTACTCCTCTCAATTCTCTGCCCTCAGATTTTTTGCTTTTCTTGTTGGCCTACTACTAGGTTTGTCTGCACTTTGCCGTCCATTTTGTTTTGTAATCCTACATTAATCTTGCTTGTGGTGCGCCTTTTGAGAAAGAAGATGAATAAACGAATAGATTTGTTTTCCAATCACAGAGAAATCATTTCTCACTAGAAGCTCAGTGCTTACAGTCAGGAGTAGTATGAGTTGGTGACTGGTGATTGATGATGGATATCAGATGACATTGCTCAAATTGTTTGCAGGGAAAATAGGTTGTTTCGTTATATAGGCCAGCAGCTCTAATGTTTAGGAATACACTCCGTTTTAGTCTTATTATTATATATCAGAGCAGCTTGTCGCTTCGAAACATGATGTGCTTTGAGGGAGAACCTCCAATGAAGTTCTCTCCTTTGAAACTTGTTCACTATCAGGGTTTTTTCCCTAGGCCACCAAGCCCACTTCCAGTCCCATGTGTGTCTGTGAAGTTGGAAAGGTCATATGCCCACTCATCCCAAACCAATTCATTCTGAAGAAGCAGTAGTGAAACTTCTTTCGAAGAATAAGGCTTCGTTGTGGATTCATCCGCTTGCAATTACAGGTGGTTAGAACCAGTACCTTCTTTGAGTTCTGACAATCGTAAGTGAGAAGGGCGGGAGCATCTACTTATCGAATTAAAGGCATCTGGCATATGGCATCTGAAAACAAAAACAGAGCTACCCTTGTATCACATTGTTTACTTGTATCTGGCATAAATAAAGGTTGTTCAGCAAAAGGTGTAAGCTTTTCATGATACAGAATTGAATTTTTTTTTTAGAATTGAATCCAGTGCTGTCCTTTAAGGGAGTCTTTTCCCGTTCCTTTTACCTTCGACATACGCGTGTTCTACACTACGGTGTATTGTAATTCATCTGCTAAATTGTTTGAAATTCGATCCCTCCTGCTGCGAAGTTGTATGGTATCCGTTCGATTATATCTGATGGCCCCCTTGAAGGAGGCCCGCAACCATGTCCTATCATTGTGCTAACTATACGATTGCTTTTCTTGAACGTCCATGGCTGATCTAGAGCTCCTTTCCCCGGTCGGAACGACTTGAGAGAAATGGCCTCCGATTTTCATTGCATGACCACCATTGACTACTACTTCTTCTCACTGGGATTATCTGAAAGAAGTGGGAGCAAACCGCAAAATTCAGAAGGCTTGCGTCCTTATGGAATCCACGTCCTTATCATCCTTATGGAATCCACGAAACTTTTGAGTGGCACCAACATTTGGGAATCTGTACCGTCATATTCAACTGTTACTGTTACTTCTACACAGTTTGCACACTGCGTATTTAAGAAAGATTCAATTACTTCAGCACCTGTTGCAATTGACATTTCCAATTTTATTTATTAACAATGCATGAGACGCTCACTTCAATCCCTCTCTATGTAAAGCCTTCAAGGACAGGTGTACTTCAAGTGTAAAATAACGATCTGTTGGGCCTCTATCGAAAGGAACACCCGAAAGCACCACTTGTTAACAATTTGCTGGTATGGGCCATCCCTGGGACATTTCCCAGGCTTCACCCACATCTAGATACTATCCACTTGTAGGGAAGCCGGCATCGAACTAGTTTTCCATGCTTTGAAGAAGTTCCCAACTTTCGAGTTCTGTAAAGTGCAGAGTCGTATTATTGCAGTGACTCCACCACTCTACTTAGGTTGGACAGGATGCCGGTCGAACTTTCGAGGGGCTTCAAAAACCAGCACTTTGAAGAAGTTCAAGAGAAGTCACCTCATGGCATAATGATGTTTTTGAAAGTTTTTAAAACTGCGTAGCTCTGTAGACAACTTTCCTATGTTCGGTTACTTGATTCTTAGAGGAATTGAACTAGGAAACATACAATTATGGAAGAAAAGTTGATCAGTGGATTTCGATTAATCCTTCTGAAATCAACCACGTCTACATAACGACTAGCGAAGTCAGTAGACGACCAAGCAGCTGTTTAATTTCTTCCGAGCAGGTGTATTATCAATTGTTCGTTTTCCGCAAAAAAAGCGAAACGCGATTTGAAATTCGATTTTACCAGAACAGAGTGTCTTGTCCGTCATAAACGACTAACGAATGCTAAGTGGTTTTCTGTTTTGTTTCAGGAGTTTTGCTTGGTGACCGCTTTATTTCTAGTAACATAGTCTGTAATAAGATTGCATATTCCAGAGTTGCTCCTTGTACTAACTCTTCGTCACACCGATACTGCATTTTAAACCCTCTGTCATTCAATTTTCATCACTGACGTAATTCCCTGGCAGCTTCTCATGTCAGTACCTCAGTCCAGAAGATCAGTCAATATCCATTGATATCTTCTTCTTCGCCTTTAGCGTCAACTAAATATACTCCCTATCACGTTGCACCGATTATAAAAGATTCGTTTTTGTCAAATGCTTCCTCTGCTTCAACCAAATACGGCAACTTCGCGGTTGCTTACCTTGTTTTGCAAGGACGGGGATCTCCTTAGAATTCAGTATCGGTTCTGACCTACTGTCTGGATAAGCCGTAGACCTGGAAACAGGGTTATTAAGAAGTCTTATTACAGAAAATCCCAACTTGGCAATCGGCAGTGCTGTAATTCCTACTTGAATCCCTATACAATCACGGAGACACCACTATTATGGTGCATTGATCAACTCATACTGCACATATTACTTTTTGCTTGTCAATGATGACTCAGTCGAGCGAATCGCTCACTAAATGGTGTTTTAGGCGATGGTCAGGGTGTAGTGTACATCAAAAGAACATGAGAGAATCTAGAATTTTGAGGAAGCGAAGACCTGGTATCAGGTTGTTCAGTATCTGACTCATGACTTGTGCCTTTTTTGTCCTGAAAAACGTCCTTCTACGGAACTTTTTTCCCGATTAAATGCTTAGTCGGGTTACCGCAACTGATTCAAAGTCATCATGCAAAGTATCAGGAAGTACCTTAAGCATTTACGGTGATCAAGGTTGAGTGCGACCTTACAACATTGTGCTGATTGCAGGACGTAGTCATGTCGTCGAGGGTGAACTTCGCGCATTTAATCAGGAACAAGAACCGATCTGAAACGTTTCCCAGCTGGAGAAGGATTTATAAGTCATCGTAGCGTCTAAAAAACGCTTCTTCCTATCACGTAACCTCTTTTCTTCAATGTGGTGTCGGAAATCTTGATTATCGTCAAGTTCTTTTATTTTCGCAAATATGGTTGGTTGCGGGCAAAAGTTTGGTCTCGAGCGAGATTCGAAGTCGTACTTGCGTTGTCACCGTGCTCTCTATTCTTCGCCTACAAACCGTTTGTTAATTTCCATTTGAAATGTTCGATACGGTCTGCTTGTTTCTTGCTTTTTTTGTGATCGTTTTTAGTTCCAATCCCATACAAATAAATTTTAAGCGGACGAAGCACATCGAGAAGTTCAGTAGTTTGTCATTCAAGTTCACATATATTATTACTTGATTAGTCGAGCGGATCACTGTAGCGGATCGAGCGGAAATGAAAAGCGCTTCACGGTTCTAAGTTGAGAAAGCTGTATCTCATCTAACGGATGTGTTCATTCCAATAAACCGCGATGTATTATAGACGGTAAATATGGACTCCTGAGGTAGAGTGTAGGTGGAGATCCATGGGATGCTGTAGATTATCCTTCTCCAGTGCAGAATGAAAATCCGAAGAATAAAGCATGAGGAAAAGAAGGTTGTCACGTTTTATGCAGATCTCGTCATTACTTCACACTAGAGGTTGCTTATTGGCAATCTGGCGGTTGCAGTGAATGTTTAACAGGGCAAGGATGAGCCGAAAATCAACTTTCATCTCGGCGACTGAGGTGCTGTCCGGCCACGGATCAACCTGTTGTTGGGGAAATGATAGCTTCGATTTTTGAAATGAAGCTTTGAAATATTTAGGGTATGCAGCTTTGGGATCGAAAATTAATTAAATATACCGTTTGTCAATGGAGTGTATGGTATTGAAAAGGAAATGGTCTTCCCATGGCATGGTGGACTCACTGATGAACAAAGGAGAGCGCAGGATTGCAAATCACAAAATCAGGGAATTATCAGCGCAGAACAGCAAACTGTTAGAAAAATATTATCAACGTGATCCTCGATTTGTCGAAGCCTCGCTTTTTGTAGTTGCAACGTCGTACGGTGTACGTGACCCCGAAGTACCATCCAATTTTTATCAGTAACTTATTTCAGAATGATCTCCGGCGACACTTCTTTCTATTACCCTTTCGTTACTGCTGTAATTTATTATATAACTGTTTTTACTATCGCCGAAATCGCTAGAAAGGTAGGTTAACGTGTTTTCCAGTTTTTCAGAAGGTAAGTAAACAATTATGCCACTCAGAAAGCTAAGACCACTTCATTCACTTCTCTGTATTCACTAGAAAAGAATCTAAGAAAGCACCAAGGACATCACATCGCTTGAGCCTTTTTCTTCTGTACTGAACAGTTTCAGGTGCTCGACAAGTTTGTCCATAAGTCTTCCTCATTATACGTCTTTGCTATCGAACTGATCGCAACTGCTCAAATGTGTACATGCGTCTATGAAAATAGTAAGTTCACAAAGTTTGGCAATCACAAAAATTTGTAATGCTATAGTTCAAGGGTATTCACGTAACCGAAATGCCTTTGCCAATGCAACAGGGATGGGGGACGAAAGTTCAAAAAATCATTCAGTCACGCTTCTAACTCTCACTAATTCGTAAAATTTCTTGTTGACCTAGTCACGTTTCCTCCTCTCCCCTTTAATGTGCTAGATTTGCTCGGAGAATTCGCAAGTTCAAAAGTGGCATAGATTCTAGGGCTGTTTTACGAAAGCAGTGACGGTAATCAGTGGGAGGATGGGGGGATGGGGTAGAAGTGGTCATTTGTTAGTGCCAGATGATATTAAGCTCATTCACCTGTCATATTCTGAGTCTCCAATCAGAATGTTCAGCTGTCAAACTTGGGGTTGTAGTCCTGAAAAAGTCCTTTCTAGGAAAACTTGCTTGTAGGATGAGTGGGCATGATTATCATAGATGTAGCCTTTTGAGTGTTGTAATTTTGAGAAAGTTCCGGATAAGGGCTCTTTGATCCAACAACAGTTTTGCTGACTATGCATGAAAATGGTCCAGAAGTGGTTGTCGTTTAAAATTTAATTTCAGGCGTCATGGTGAAATACTATGGTCCAATGGCGTTTTTCTTCACGGTGACATCGTTACTGACAGTTGGATCATTCATGAATCGAGGGGCGTTTGTCAGTCCACTGGCTCCGATCGAAGCCTTCCTCTACGGAATTATTGGGCTGGTTCTTTTTTGTTCATTTCTACATCCATATCATAATGGTTGCACTCTAAAGTCACATCCGAGTGAACAGCGTGTTTCTTGAAAATGTTGTGCTAAAGCTCCTGTTCCAGCCCCACACGACTGCTGGTCCTATTATCAGCCGAGGCTATCGGTGGCTACAGTGCTTTCCGCTTAGCACGAACTCTTTGGTATCACACTTTGTCCTATTCCACAGTTCATTTCGAAAACTTTACCAACTCTGCTTGCTCTCTCAATTACAAGGTATGATCGCCTCTGGCATGAATATTGGCTTTAATCGGTTAAGAATTATAATATTATGAGTAGTTTCCCATTACATTTCCAGATTGCATTTCCTCTAGTGATTTGCTTCGAAATTATCGGATGCTTTCTACTTCGTATTATTCTGCCCAATTTACCGCTTCGGGGAAAGTCCTATACCGTCTCCGCAGTGGTCGCTGCTTTCCTTTCATTTGGTACGTTTTTATTTTACCCTTCGGTCCTATTTCATGGATGACTTAGTTAAAATTTTGCTAAACTCCTTTTTCATCTTGTTAACAGCGAAACGTGAACTGAGCAAAAAGCTGGGCTAGGCCCCACAGGTGAGGTATATACTTCACACCCCTAGCACTTTCTATGTGCACGGTTTCTCCATTGAAGATCCTTTTTTCATATCGTCCTTTACTTTGTAATGAGGTACATGCTGAATATTCTAAAGGGGATGGAAAGTAATTCCACTTCGCCGAAACAAGGCCTTTCTATGACCTCAAATGCGTGGCTACGGGTTGCCAATTCTGTATTCTCTTTTTCTTTAGTGTACTACAAGGTATTTGCGGAGGACGGTGTAGCTCCAGATGCAGTATATGCACCGTTCGATCACTCTTCAGGGAGAATCGCCAGCACCTCCACTGATCAGAAGACCTTTCCTAGAGAATTGAAGTGCTGAACAGTTAGGTTACTTAGAGGCACAGTTCAGACAAACATGGTTTCCGAGATATCCACTTGAAATAAGTCTGTGCCTTCTCCAAGAATGCAATATGTGGCCCAGTCAGACCGAAAAACGGCCCGATGGGGCATAATAAGGGCTCAGAGATCGAGTCCACGGCTTGTCACACCCGAAAATGGCCGTGTTTCAAAGACCTTGAAGAGACTGTATCATTCTTAATGGAGCACCCATGTTGAAAAATCAAGTATTAGTCGTGATCCACAGCGATACTGGAAGGCAGTTATTGGCATTTTTGGCTTACTGTATCCTTGTTTAGCACACAACTAGCAGCTTGCCTAAATACCCTTCCGATGAAATTTCGTCTTCATAATCTCTTACTACCTCTTTGTTGATGTTTCTTTGAAGCCCTTTTCCCTTGAAATCCACCAGTTTTCACTTCTTCTTTACCATCATTGCACTCTACATTATAATCTTCATTAGTTTACTTGACTTGTCAATCTGGACTTTTGTGAGGCCTCCTGCAGAGACACCCTCCTCCCGAGTACCCTAACACGAATATTTAGTGCACCTCCCTCAACTGTAAGCCGCCTTCTACGAAGTGATTCCTAATTATTGTGGGAACTTTGCATTCGCAAGAGTCTACGCCGCTTTGCGAAAACTACAATTTTTCCAGCCCTAATTTACGTTGGAGTTCCGGGTCTTAATCCTGTGGTGGCGTCATCACGATTGTTTGGATGTGAAGGGCTCGATACCCAATGGTTCATCGCTGTCTACTGGGTTTGTTTTTTATACTTTTTTAGTGAAGCTGATGACTATTTTTCAAATAAAATCTCCTCTCATAAGTTGGGAGGAAAGATTGCCTAGGACTCTCTTTTTTAGAAAAATGTCCAGTGCTTTCAGATATGTCCTGTTTTCGGATGGATGGCTGCTGCCGCTCTGGAGAAGTCGATGGTGAAGAAAGCGCCGAAAAAATTGAAAAAGAAGAGCAACTGATCATTAGTGATTCGCCGTTCGCTGCTCAAATGTTTGACAGACACATCATTCACTTCACGATGCTTCTCCAAAACGTAACCGGGAACAAATTGCGAGTATTCGAATACATTTGAATGGATAGTCAAATTCTGATAAAAAAAGGTGTTGTATTTCTTGTTGTTGTCAATCACATTGATCAAGTTTCCTCACTATACGAAGTCCACCCACATAAGTCGATTTTAGAGCATTCCTGTCTTTTCTTCGGTTGCTTCTGTTGCGAACTGCTTCTCAGTACTGTTCACTACCTGATTCAGTTCCACAAAGCACAAGCACATCCGTTTTACGGGCTGAAGTTGTGCTTTTTTGAAGCATGAACGATTGAAAGCAGAATCGTTTCTTGAACAAACTCGCGAACCAAATGAAACTGTAATGTGATAGCAGAGTTCATACCATACTTTGGAATGGGAAGTAGAACAGTGTGGTGGCCAAAGAATTGCAGTTCGATATAGAGGAGGACCAAGTAGAGCATCTTTCTGTACATAATAGAAGTTGGATGTCCACGTATGGATTCAAAGGCACAGTTCACGATAAAAACGNTCACAGAGTGTAAGCGACTTGCCATAACCAATAGCGACAACTCTGTTCAGTTCTGGCTTGAAGTAGTCAGCTCTTTGAGCAATTGCAACAATTCAAAACTCGTCCGAAGACCCTGTCTAAGTTATTTCTGTCACTGTAATATCGTCCAACCTCTATTTCCCCTACTTTCAGGAGGCTTATTTTCCCTTGAATGGGCGAATTTTCTTGCTTCCTTCGCCACCAATGCCCTACTTCCAACCAATACTTCCGCTTTTCGACTTGGAAAAGGAGCCTCAGAGTTATCGTGAACCGTGCCTTTAATGTATAGCAACTGATTTCCGCCGACCGCTATTATAGACGACAGACCTCTTTTTTTTTCTGGAGTAAAAACTGGAGTAAAAACAAATTACAACGAGTAGCACGACGGCTGCTCCTCTATCAACTCTTGTAAGACCAATTTCTGCAATTTCCGACCTTGCAGTGTGCATTGAATGACTCGCCAATGCTTCATAAGGGACTCCTCAATCTTCCGACCGTGATTTTCTCTGCTGCCCACCGCAGACTTGCGAAAACGATCAGGTCAGTCTTGAAGGAGTTCATCTCCAAAAGCAGAGTTCGGAAATCTATGCTGTACGGTTCTCTTTGGAACGAATCCTACCCCTCCCACTCTCTCCTCCTGCGCATGACTGATGTTGCGGGTAGCCTGGGCGGCAAAGCAGTCCAACCGAATCTAGGAGAGTATTCAGAAACTACGCGAGAATCAGGTGTATGTAGGTTGCCTTTTATATTTCGAGATTTGAAAACAGCAACAGATACTATATATTGAAAATCGCCTTACTGCCTTTCAAAATTCTTCACATTAAGATCTATACACTTTTGCATGGGCTCGAACCAATTTTCGAAGCACTTTTGCCACCCTGATTAAGGTAACTCTAAGACATGGATTTCGAACGCATCAACGGCTTCTTCAGGTGTCGAAAAACGTTGACCTCTCATTTTATTTTTTACGTACGGGGTGAGAAGAAGTCAC